GAGAATGTTTCATAGAAGTTTGACCGCAGCAGCCTCAGTTTCCTCATCATTGAAGAAACCATTAAAATGGTCTTCCTTACAGTCATTGTAAAGCTTAAAGTAACAAAAGCTATTTCTCCCTACTAATGAGAGAATCGGTTTCTTGCTCTTGGATCCTAGTTATTATTTAATGTAATGGCTTAATGAGAAGGCAGAGGACCTGCTCCGCTTAGCATTTGCTTTATGTCTGTTTGTTGCCCTCCATTCTAAGAGACTTCTCAGTGCCATGCTCCGGTTCTTGGAGGATGGGGCTGGAATGACACATATGTCAATCATAAACCTTATAGCCATGTGCTCCGCAGCTGGCCACCGTCTCTTGCTTAGCCTGTGGTTCTCTGCTATCTCTAGCATTTGTTAAGAGTTTTGGGTTTACCTGCGTTAGTGTTGTGCAAAAAGAGATGCCTAGTATTTGTACCCCGGCCTCCTTTGTTCACTATCTCTAACCTTTCAGGAAGCCCTTTGCGGTAGGTCTGTGGAATCTGCCAAGTGCAGGATTTGTCATTCCTAGTACCTGATGGAAGAGAAAAAAACAAGGTGGTGGTGGGGGGGGGAAGGCCATTTTCCTTCAGGAATGGGCTTAGGTTTGTAGAACAGCCTTGGTGGCGATGCCAGCAGGCCCCGTCTTTTTCTGTAGTACTTTATTTAGCCCTTTGGGACTCACAGGACAGATGTTTCTTCCTGAAAATGCTTTGAGGATTCACCAGTCTGAACTGGCTTAGGAGGAAAGGGGCTTTCCCCAGAATCTCCACTATCAGAGATAGTGGAGTCTGTATGTAGAGCTGAGTGTGTATGTAGTAGGTCGACAACTGTCCGTTCCCACCTACTGACTGTAAAGAAATTGTGTCTGTATGTATGTGTGTGTGTGTGCTCGTGCTGTGCACGCACACGTGTGGGCTTGCATGCATGTGATCAGTTATCTTAGAACTCTGCTATCATTACTGAATGAGAACAGAAACATCCTGGAAAGTAGGGGGTGGGGAGACACCTCAAAACCTAGCATAGGATGAACTGAATATTTCTGGGATCTTTCCAAGGGTGGTGGTGGTGGTATGTGTGTGTTTATAGGTAGACATATAGTAGGGAGGTTTCTCTAGAAGTGAGGGCAGAAGGAGCTGGAGGGCAAGCTGGGAGAAAAATCATCAGGCCCGTGTGTTTGTATCTTGGGCCAGGCTAGGGTTCCTTCATTTGGGAAGCTGAACCAGGAAAATTGTATTTTAATTCATCGAATAGAATGTGACTTTTGTTGTCACCCCCCTCCCTAAAGTCCCCTGCCTAGTCTCTGCAGTTTCCTTCCCTCCCTCCCCACACCCTGGCAACCCACAGACTCCAGATCCACGTCCACCTTCCCTTGCTAGTCACCTCTGAGGCACTCATGGGTTTAGATTTCCCTCTGAGGATCCCCAGGGCTTTGGTTCTGTCTTTAGGGAGATGTTGACGCCAAATTCCTTCCCTTGGGATCACTTCCTTTTGGGAGCACATGAAAGGCTGTCTGGCCTGTTCCCCCAAGCCATGGCCAGACGCACTTTAAGTTTAGCTTTGGGTTATCTTATTTCCAAGGCAGGGACGGCTTCTTTCCTAGCCCAGGTTTTGTCCCATCTTATGTCTGTGTGGAGTAGAGCTGTTCTGTGCAGCCACTGCACTTGGCTAAAAAATGTCAGGAATGTGGAACTTTATTCCCCCCCCTCCTTCCTTTCCAGCTTTCTCTTTCTTAGCTCTGCTTGGGGAGAGGTGGTACTAGGGGCACTTTTCTTCCCGCAGTGAGGGCTTTCTTAGGCTGAGTGTGGTTCCTAGGGGTGTGGGTGGCCAGTTGGGATGTGTGTATAAGTCAGACGTGAAAGTAGCCCCCCCTCCCCTTCCCTTCTCGACCAGTGCCTTGTGCCACGTTTCCAAGCGAAACCGGCAGGGGAAGAGGAAAACTCTTTCATTAGCGAGTGGAGAATGAGAAATAGGGGGCGCCTGGAGGAGAGGAAGCAATTTCTGCACCACCTTTACAACGTCATCTCAAGACAGAAACTGGTTTCTTCTTCGGTGTTTGCAGCTGCAGGGCCATGTTTCAGAAGTTCTGAGCGTCACTTGTAGTTTTCATGTTTGGTTTTTGTATAGGCCATGCTGAGGATGTAAGGGTTTGGGACCCAGAGGACTTTGGGAATGGTAGATGGTTTGGGCTTTTAAACTTATTTCTGAGGCAGGTGTAGCAGGTAGCTCCTTTTTTTTTTTTTTTTTTTTTTTCCAGGAACTACTTTCTTCCCTGTTCCTGACTCCACGACAGACTTGTCAGGAAGAAATATTTGCAGCACTTACAATGGAAGCCCATGGCAGGTGTCATACGTGTTTGGACTGGGGAGTGGGGTCTGTGGCACCAGTTCAAACTCATGGACACACCTGTGGGTGTCATAGCCTGCAACCAGACAGCTAGTCCTCTCTCTCTCTCTTTCTCTCTCTCTCTCTCTCTCTCTCTCTCTCTCTCTCTCTCTCTCTCTCTCTTGGTTTTTGGAGACAGGGTTTCTCTGTATTGTAGTCCTGTCTCTTAATGCTAGGTGAAAAGATAAGTTATGAATTGGCAAAAGATTTTTCTGTTGTGTTCACAGAAGAGTGTAAGTGGCACATAGGAACACCTGTGGATGTCAGTTGGTTTTTTTTTTTACTAGCTTCTAGTGAAAAAATGTCACTTTGTCAGTTTTTATAATTCCTGACTTTTTGCCTCTACTCAGGGAGCTTGAGACACTCTCTGCTGGGGATGCTAGAGGCCACCAGAAGGAGTCCCTCATCTTCATGGGCAGACCCTTGCTTGGTTGAATTTATACATGTGACACAGTGATCTGAGCAATGGAACAGAAGCTTGGTGTTTGAGTTTCTCTTGATCAGGATTCCAGGTTAACCCTAGCCTATGGGATGAAAGGGCATATTCATTATTTTTCCCTTGGCAAAAGTGGAGGATGGTATTGGTGAACTGGTGAAATTTTGACTACAAGTACAAGATGAAGACCAACATGTTAAGAGACCCGCCAGCACAGGGGTGCTTCACTGCTGCTTCCCTGGTCCCTCAGCAGTCACACTGATCAGGGTTGGCTCCGACTTCATTATTGGGTCTGAGTGTCTGCTTACCCCTCTCATTGAGAGCCCTGGCTGGCTGGATGTCATTTTAGGGATGATGTATTTTGAGATGGATACCTTTCTCCTAAATTCTGTTGCACTAGCCATCTAGCATCCAAATGACTGTCCCTGACACCTCTAATTCCCTCTTCTCCAAAGGATCCTTGTGCTGTGGCTGTGCCATACACATCAGGTTTTCTCTTGGACATTTGCCTTCTTACAACATGAGGTGTGGGCACCAGAGGGTCTTGGTGCTGTCAGTGTCAGCACTGGGGCAATAAAGAGTACAAGGAAACTGCCCTGGAAACTAAGTAGGTGTCGATTCTTTTTTGCACTCTCTGTTGTCTGAACCCTCAGTGGCTTATTTCTCAGAGGCACTCTCTAGGCTGGTCACAGCAGAGCGACTTAGTCCCGACTGTTTGTGGAATAACATGTGTTGCTATGGTGAAAGCTTCAGTCTGGCAGGCATGGACTCCCTTTTTCTTTTTTTTTTTCTTTTTGATCTGCTGTGTCGTGGGCAGGGGCCC